GCTCCTGCAGCGTACCGTGCAAACTACTACACCGATCGGCAGTAACGCGGTTAGCCTGTTAGTTATTGTCAGCTACTCAGCTGACCTACCATCTACACCTGCACGGCCAGCACTCTCAGAGGCTCTCTCATGTCTCAGCGGCGTGACCGGTACGAACGTCCCACAGAACAGTCGTTTTGCGTACCCGAAAAATACAAAAACCACAGCGGTCCCGCACCATCAGTCTCAATCAACATTTCAGCACCGACTATCGCGACTGAGCCTTCCACTCCGGCACGGCAGAATAGCAAGCGAACCGGTCGGTTTCCATCCAATCCCATCACGCCGAGCCACGGCGAGAGACCGAGGCCAACCAAAATTTGCCCCGGCGTCCCCACACGGCAGGAGTATTATGTGCGATGTGACCGAGACCGAGAACGACCGGGAGTCCCCTCCGCTCCGCATCCGCATCCGCATCCGCTGGGACAGCAACGCCCGTCCGAACCCGAGCGCCACCACCACCTGCGCTGCGTCCAGCGCCCGCCAGCCAGAGCCAAATACGGAAAGCGCGCACCTGCTTTGCTGCTTCCCACCCAAACTCGCCGTCCGCCACCACCTCTGCCACCGGCGCGTGCGCCCGCACACAGCAAGCTCGCCTCCCACGCGCACGGCCGCGCCAGCACCCCACCCCACGCCTCGCTTCGTTTCCCCGTTGCTTGACGCCGAATCCACCACGCAGGCGGCCAGGCCAGCGCCAGCGCATCGTCCCTCCCCGGCCCGCTCCGCCTCTCCGGTCGCGCCCGCGCCCGCGCGCGCCAGGCCTCGGGGCGACCACCACCAAAATAGTAGAAACTTCCGTGGGTAGGTCACCCCCGGCTGGCTTTACCTCCCTCCCTCCGGGCCCAAAACCGCCGCTTCCCCTCCTCCTCCGCCCCGCGCCGCGCCGCTTCCCCTCCCCGCTCTTTCTGTGAGGAGGGAAGCGAGGCGGATGCCGAGGCGACGGGGCTCGCGCACCGCACGCGTGTGCCCGCCGCCCCGGGGCCAGGCGAGGTGGTGAGGTGAGGTAGCGCGCGGTTTTAAATTGCCCGCCCGCCCTTCTCGCCGTAGTTTTCAGTGCTAGAGGAAGGGCTGCCTGACTGCCTGCGGACATGGGCTCCAGCCTCAAGTACCGAGCTGGCCTCTGCCTCATCGTCGCCGTCGTGCTGATTTGGGTCCTCTCCGCCGAGGTCACGCAGGTGCGGTGTGGATTCTGTAATCTTTTTGCGTTCTCCTCTGTTTACTTGTTTATTTTGATTGGATTTGGAGGTTCTTGGATCTTGGCTTGGGATGCATGCTTGCTTATCGGATTGGTTTGGTTCGTTTCGTTTCGGGCGTAAATGCTCTGTGCTTATCAGATTATTTTTGTTGAACCGGACCGCCTTGGGGGGTGTTGTTCTGCATCTCGACTGATTTTTAAACGTTACGCGCAGGGTTACCTGTATAGAAAATTTATCAGGGGAATGTTATGCATCTGTCATCATTTCTGTCTTAAAAGAACATCTGGCATCATTCTGAATCCAGCCGAGGCTTCACCACTGGGTTTTATTTATACCATTAAAAAGCAAAGAAAAGTCAATTCTTTTGCCTTCTACTGTGCTCCCTCGCTGCTAAAAAAATAAGTCGTTTTGGACAGCGACACGGTCTCAAAAGCATAATTTTGGAGTACTTATTTTTATAAATATATTTATCAAAAAGTGATATATGTAAATTTTTATGAAAGTATTTTTCAAGACAAATATATACATGGTTTTCACATTTACAAACTCAACAATTTAAAAGTTATTTATGATTTATATTCCCAATATTTGCCTCAAGCCTTATCTAAAATGATTTTTTTTTTTTAAGTATGGAGGGAGTATATAAGTTTGGAGCTAATGCCCCCAAAATTGCATGTATGTGTGTTCATATGGATATCCGTCAAATCTGCTGTTAATGGTTTAACGACTTGTACCTGCCTGTCGTCAGTCTTGAGTGCTAGCTTGTTCATGGAAACTATGTCAAAGTATAATCATGTGATGGTTGTCACAGTTCATATGTGGCTGATTGGGGGTGGTTGTGACATGCTTGATCACCTACAATACATGATTCAAGGAGATACCGATGGTAGAATTAGAGGTTACTGGTAGTAGAATTTTGTCACCTCCAATGACTGCAAAACACTTAAACGCCTCAGCTTCTAGTTCTTGATTCTTTTTTTTTGTCTTTGTAAAGTCCATCTTGCGAAATTTATTAATTTTTCATTTTGTAACTAAATTTCTTGTGCAGGGGATATTCACAAAGTACAAACATCCGTTTGCAATTACTTACTTGGGGGCCTCCCTTATGGTCATATATCTCCCTTTGTCATTTCTAAAAGACTTCATATACAATTCAATGAGACGGCATTCTGGAAACACTAGTGCTTTAAAAATTGCAAGCAAATCTTCCTTTGGTGGTAGTGCCCCTTTGAAGAATGGTGAATTTCAGAAGGTGTTGGAAATGGAATCACAGAAAACTATAGTGATAAATTGCACTGATGTGAGCATTCCTGTAGTAGAAGAGATAAAACCACTCATATACGGAATCACTGAAATGAATGATGGCGTTTTGAAGGACAAGCAACTTTCCACTAAGGAGATTGCAACTTATGGATTGTATCTTTGCCCCTTATGGTTTGTGACAGAGGTAATTTCACAATGACTTTGCATGTTAATTTGTAATTCCAGGGGACTTGAAATGTTCATGTGAATAACTATTGACATATGTTTCTCAAAAATTATTTGACATATGTTCCTGAAATCCTAAATTTCAATCGTAAAAGCAATACTTTGATAGGTAAAGGTAACTCATTTTTCTCTTACGCTGAATGAATGCAGTATTTATCGAATGCAGCGCTTGCAAGAACTAGTGTTGCCAGTACCACCGTACTGTCTTCAACTTCAGGACTCTTCACTCTTTTCATTGGTGTTTTACTTGGCCAAGACTCCATAAATGCTGCGAAAGTGATTGCTGTTTTCATTAGCATGGCTGGCGTTGTAATGACAACTATGGGCCAGACTTGGGCATCTGATGAATCAGAAGTAGGCAAATCTGGGTGAGTGATTTATTACTTGTTGGCCTTTACTCTTTTATACTCTGATAATCACAATGGTTCATGACTGCATGATGATGACATTCGACTTAATTTACTGTTCTTGAAAAATCCTTGGTCTTGCTTACAACAAGTAGTGTTCAGTTAGTTGGCTTCACTTCTTTTTTGTGTTTAAAACAACTCAAAACATTGAGTGTTTCATTTTTTATATTCGCACGACTTGATAGTGATGAACATGAGACAAAAACAAAATTTGATTTTGGGGATGGAAATTCATTCCTTTTTTCAACTGTATTTCCTTGCTACTGATATGTAAGTTTTACAATTGCAGTGATACACAGAGGACTCTTTTAGGTGATATGTTTGGTCTTATGTCAGCCATCTCCTATGGTCTATTTACTGGTAGGTTGTTTTACTTTGCCTTATTTGCAGTTGATCTCTATGAATTCAGCCCCTAATTGTTTCAATATTATTTCAGTGCTGCTTAAAAAATTCTGTGGAGAGGAAGGAGAAAAGGTTGATGTCCAAAAACTGTTTGGTTATCTTGGACTTTTTACCCTAGTTGCTCTCTGGTGGATTGGTAATATTTTATTTCCCTTTTCCAAATTAATATAACAAAAGTACAAATTCGAAATATATAACCACATTTTGGAAACTTCTTAATTGTGCATGTCTTTCATGGTTGGTTGATGTAAAAAATTGTCGTTATTGTGTCTATATTTCAGTCTGGCCATTAACCGCACTAGGCATTGAGCCAAAGTTTTCGATGCCCCACTCAGCTAAAGTGGATGAAGTGGTGGTGGCAAATAGCCTAATCGGAAGTGTACTATCAGACTACTTCTGGTACGTGTTAAAGAAGGCTAATATATTTTTATATTATTATTACTGCATACTCAGGGTAATTCTGACTGTGGAACTTTTGGTCAGGGCTCTTTCTGTTGTTTGGACTACTCCCTTGGTGGCCACCCTAGGCATGTCTCTCACAATTCCACTAGCAATGGTTGCTGATATGATCATTCACGGCCGTCACTATTCAGCAGTATATATTCTTGGTTCTGTCCAGGTACGAGTATCCAGCAGCTCAGTATTTTTTTTTAGCTTGACTTATGTCAAATATCTACCATCTTACGACAGCAACCAATTTGAATGCTTTGAAGGTTTTGTTCTGACAGAGCCTTGTGTTCTTAACTCGTTATTTGCATCACCATGTTCAATTATGTGTTCCTCTTCACCGTTCAGCTCACTGTTGCATACATTTGTCATTCTGTTTAACCCTGTGAGCTTTGTTCCTTCGCAGGTATTTTCAGGCTTTGTTATTGCGAACCTTGCAGATCGGTTTTCACGTTCTCCAGGGCTATTATAGTTTCATAAAAGAAAACAAGTCCTGATTAGAGTGTACATCTGGAAGTCGAAAGATCGGGTTGGTTAGACAAATACTTCAGAAAACGTGGATTGGGAAACGTGGGTTCTTTTCCCTTTGCTCCTTTGAACATAGGGGCGGTGAATTTTGCCGTGGTGAATAGTGAAAAGCAAGCAGATGATGAAGAAAACATATGTTGTAGCAGCCCTTTGCAACTGTAAATTCTCTTACCACAAATTGTGCGACAGTGTAAACTGCCGTCGTGCTCGGCCATGTCCACAGGCTTGCACGCTTGTAAATTTGCAATGCCCCTTTATTCCTTGTCGACCCGTGTTCATGGCAATTGCAAATACAAGTACGTGAAAGGAAAGACTGGATATATAGTTGGAACAAAGAATGAATTGGAACTACAAATTGCAGAAAATTGAATGGGCAAGTTGTACAAGTTGCCATATACAAATACACAAGTGTACACAACAAAGAAAAATGAAAAGTGAAAATGACTTGCTGCACAGGCAACGTCAAAGTCAAGGGTGACACGTGTACATTCTACTAGCAGCTTGGCGAGCAACCAAAGTCAGCTCCCCTCTCATTATTGAGAAAATTGCCTTGTCGGAGCGAGACACGATAGACGGCGAAGGCAGCAGTCTGTCCGGGATCGCGCAGCAGCGGCCGGGTGACCCTGTCGACCTCGGCCACCTCAAAGCCATGCTCCCGCAGCACGTCCATGCAGTCCAGCACGCTGTCCCGCACCTCGCTCGCCGCCCACCCCACGGTGCCGCCGCTGCCGCCCTCCTCGTCCTCGTCCTCGTCCGTCCACCACATCCCCCGCAGCGTGGCTGCCATCGCCGGCATGTCCTCGGGGTCATAGAACACGTCGGACAAGAGCACGACGCCCACCCTCTCCTCGTCCTCGAGCTGGAGGCGATCTCCCCACCTGAGCTCGCGCACGTCGGCCCGCGCGGCGCTGAGCCCGTTGGCGTCCGCGTTGGCCCTGAGGCCCGGCAGCAGCGCGGCCACGTCCGTGAGCACGCAGCGCGCGGCGCCGAGGCAGGCCACGGCCGCGACGCCCGGGAGCCCCGTGCTTCCCGCGCCGAGCTCCACGACGGTGGCGCCAAGGAGGCGGCGCCTGGCGCGGGTGTCGGCGGCGAGGTGGGCGGCCAGGACCAGGGACGAGTCCCACAGCCAGGAGCCCGTGAGGACGCGGCCGGTGGCCGGGTCGCTCGTGCTGTCGCGCTCCACCACGGCCAGCGCGTGCCCGGCCACGGCTACGTGCAGGACCTGCGGCTGCGGGTGCAGCACGTCCATTCCCGCGCGCGGCTGGCCGGCTGCCTACGTGCCGGCCCGCCCGTCTTATCTGGTTGCCGCCGGAGGCTCTGCTCGAGTTCAGGTCACGGAATCACGGTCGGATGTCTGTCGTCGGTGGCAGGTAGCGAGGGGCCAGTTGCGACGTCGATATTATTATTGTTCGCGCGATGGCGGTTTGTGTCGCGAAACACGTCGTACGTGATCAACGTAGATGAGATTAGAAAACGCATAAAGATAATAAGATAGGAAAACTATTGATAATTACACATAGAGCTCCAACGTGTATATATAGTTTTGTCAAAATCAAAGAGTTTGATAAGAAATAGACTAGTATTAGAATTCTTTTTCTTTTCCAATTCACGTACAAACGGACTAGAATTAGTATGTCTTCTCTTCTTTTTTTTTCTACATACAAGCTCGAGTCCGTATATATTACAAACAGGTTAGCCTAGTCGTGCATTGCAGTGCATTGCGCAATTAGCCAATTGGTTGGTATCATTCGTTCTTACCCACGGACTGAACATATTCGTTAACTTTTTTTCTTTCTTTTGGCCATACACGTACTTGCGTTTTTCGTCAGTAACGTGTCGGGATTCATCAGCCTCCAGCCGTGAGCCCGTGACACGTGAACATGAGGCCTCTCGCGCGTGTTGTCCCTCCCATTCTCATCTCAGCTCTCACAGTCCCACTACAGGCTAATAGAGTTTGCCGCTGAGATGAGATGAGGATATATCAAGTGGACCAGTTGCTTTTCGCCCAAATGCATGCATAACCCCGGCCCACTCACTTTTGCAAGGTCCTGTACTAGTACCTGCTAGTTTGCAACTTGAACGAGGCCCACAGGACTGAGACCATCAGTGAGCACAGTTCTGGTGTTATTCACTTAATTCAGATTCGTGCCGTTTATTATTATGGACGTATTGTTAGGGTACTTGTGGTTCGAGTGCTGCCGATTCCGTCAGGCAATGCCCAACAGAGAGAGACCCAACAGGGGGCCCCGTTGCAACTTGCCAGACCGGCCGCAGGAGCGGCGGCGTCTGGGTGCGCCGATTCTCTGACGTTGCCTGCTGGTACAAGTTTGAACTCGTCGTGCTTATGGATGGATGCATGCTCCTCATAAGTGATAAGAATCTCAACGAACATACTGGCAAACAGGATTATGAAAATTGCACTCTCCCATTCCTTCCATTACCCATAACAAACAAAGAGCATATATGCATGCAAACGCAACACATGCACGAGAGAACTTGCATCGCGCGCGTGCCTGGACAGCCTGATGAAGAGTGAAGGCTTGAGGAGCAGAAATGCCGGAGACACCACACCATGACACCACCGTAGTCCGGCTGGGCCGGCGGTCCCTGGACCGTATTCGTTCGTACGGGGTACGTGCCTACACCTACGCAAGAGGAGCACAGGATAGCTAGGGGCCGGAAAAGATGGGTGATGCAGCACATCATGCACGTACGTACGACGCCGCGCAGTCGCGGGTCCGTCGTCGTCTCTCTCGCTCGCGTCGTAGGCAGCAGCCACAGGGCACAGCCTGCATGGACGACACGGCAATAAAGGTAGATGGCGTCCGGGGGGTGCAAAGGTTTTTTTCTCGAATCTCGCTCGCGTCGTGAGGCAGAAAAAAAACTAATTGCACAGGTGAGAAATCGCACGAAACTTTCGAACCCAATTAGTCCATAATTAAAGGTTAATTGTCAAGGGCAGCAAAACCAAAAAAATTAATCTAAACGGGGCCTTAGCGAGGGCAGAAAAGACCCCTGTCCTCCTTCCTGCGCTGCCGCTGCGACTGGGAAGGCTAGCTGAGGCTGAGCCTGCGACGATCCGTCCAGGTACAGACAGGTTCAGGTCCGGTAGCCATCCATCCATCCATCCGTCGCGGGCCGGCCGTCCGGCCGATCCCTTTGGCTTTAATGCAGCCTTTTTGTCCCTTCAAAAGCTACCACCAGCCGCTCGATCCCGCCTTCGATCGCTCACGCTCGCCTCGCCTCCAATTCCTGTTCGCACCTTGCTTAGCTTGCTTGCTCACCTAGCTTTGTCATGGCGGCGTCCCGCTCGCCCAAGGTCGTGAGACAGGCCGCCGCCGCGACCTGCGTCGTGGACGACAACACCACGTTCGTGCAGGCCGACCCGGCCACGTTCCGCGCGCTCGTGCAGAAGCTCACGGGCGCGGCGCCAGCATCAGCAGGCGGGACGACAGCGGCGGCGGAGAAGCTGCCGCCGAAGCCGCAGGAGGACGAGGCGGCGGCGGTGACCATCGAGCACGCGCCACCGCCGAGGCGGCCGAAGCTGCAGGAGAGACGGCGCGCGGCGCCGGCCAGGCTGGAGCTGGCGCGGCCGCAGCTGCCATCGTCGCCGTCGTCGTCGTCGTTCTACTACTACCACCACGCTCACGCTCCCGCCCACGGCGCCCACGCTCACCACGGCCACTGCACCCACGGGCTCATGCACTCGCCGGTCTCGCCCATGGACGCGTACGTGGTGCTGGCAGCGGCGTCCGCGTCGCCGTCGCTGTCGTCGTCCTCGTCCATGACGCCGTCGCCGCACTCGTCGTCGCCGTCGTGCGGCGGGGCGGCGGGGTGATGATAAGCCGGGAGGAGGAGGAGCGGGAGGAGAAGGCCATCGCGTCCAAGGGCTTCTACCTGCACGCGTCGCCCCGGGGCGACGGCGACCGACCCAAGCTGCTGCCGCTGTTCCCCGTTCACTCACCCAGGATCAATGAACTCCGGCGAGGCTAGCTAGCTAGTCATGTGTGCTAATTCACCGTCAGTCTCGTCTCCATATATGTTACATGTACCGCCTATATATTTGCGCTAGAATTAGATGGTGATCCATGGACGCAACGTACGCTTGTTAATTAGCCGATCTTGTTAGCTAGGCTTTAATTAGTAGATCTCTAATTAATCCTCTACGTACTATTCCCATATCTGAATCTAATCATGCGTGAAGTGTCTCTCCCGTCTTGTGTGGTGGGTCATGTTGTCATGTGTTCCACTAGCAGCTAGCAGGTCAACTTCTGATCCTGGAATTGGAATGGAACCCCCATCGACTCCATCTGCATGCCATTTGCACAAGAGGTGCACGCGCTTTGCAAGGCAAAGTTGTTTCTAGTTTCTAACGCGTCCCACGTAGCTGATCGATCGGATGCCATGCCAACGTGGCAACGTACGTCAAGTTTATTCCTCCTGTGGGACAAGGACCGGATGAGAGGCAACATCATTTATTTTATTTTATTCTCTCTTTTTTGCGTAAGAGACTAAGAGGTAGAGGGAATATATACAGAGACAGACAATGTGGCCGGGCGACATCTGCACGAACGTTGTCACTAGCGTCATGTGGGGGACCTACCAACTTATCGGGACGAGAGGAACATGTGTGCGGGAAGTGGGAGGTAGCCCCCACCGGGCTCACGGGCGCCATGCCGCCGTGCTGCGCGGGCTGCGGCAGAGCGCTGAGCGCTGAGCGCAGGATGATGGAGAGCTACTCATCATCCGTTCATTGCTGCTCACATGATTTGTGCTGGGGGGAGGGTCATCCCTTTCGCACGCAAGAGAATGAGATCATCCCAGCAGTGGCGGACCCAGCCGGAAATATGAGCTATGGCGGATCATTATGTACAGATACAAAACTTCACCGATACACCGGTCTAACTATGTATACAGAGGCTTAATTCAGCCATTTTAATTCACCGATATACCGGTCTTCATACATATGTATATATATATTGTAATATTACATAAAAATTATGTTCTAATATATGGCTGCCGTTTTAATTCAGCCATTTTAATTTGCCGAGTTGGAGCACCGCTGCCGTCCGCCGAGCGCCCGAGCTAGAGCAGCGATTGCGATGTGCGATGCGAAATTGGAATGCACGGTGCGCCCCTGCCCCTTCGCCTAGCCCTAAGGGCCAAAATGGGCCAGAACCAGAAAATGGGCCTTGTTAGTTGTTGGCCAGATGGCCCAGCACCCCAGCCATCTTCTATTCGTCTTCAACCTCACGACGGCGGTGCTAGCTCAACATCAACGGACTCAGGGATGCTGTCGCCGACCGGAGAACTGAGGGGTAGTAGTGGTGCTCGTCGGTGATGACCTAGGGCGGCCGCCCAAGCTCGCCCTATAGGTCGGTCCGCCTCTGATCCCCAGTTAGATAAGCATGATGAGAGAGCCCGCCCACCGCCGTGCACATGCGTACGCTGGCTCGCCTGAACTTATCAACTGACTTTTATCAGTTAGAATCTACAGTGTTTTTCTCGCACACCAAATAGCTTCAGTCAGCTTATCAGCCAGCTTATGTATGAGCCGAACATAGCCTTCGGGAAGCGGGCATGCAATGCAACGAAGAGTAGCCGTCTTGCGTTTCCTGCCAGGGTTCCGTGGACGAACCGGTGGAAATGCCGCAGGGACTGCTGGGAGAAACGAACGGAACGATGCCTCGCTCCCAAGTCTCAACCGGATTCCCGTGACAAGTTTGAAGCTGGTTGGCAGCCCAATTACTGAGCCGGAACGAACGCTAGTGCCTAGTGGTGGGTATTAATTCGGAGCTCAGGTGCGTGCGCGTGTACGTATGTCTGTGCGTGCATGCCCAGGCCCAATAGCTCATGCCTGCCGGTCTGCCGGTCTGGTCTCTGGTCGCCAGGCTCCGAGTATCGACGCGCCATCAATAAAACAGCAAAGGCCTTAGGCCTGTACCCTGTAGTAAGCAGCATCAGCAGTTCAGCACTGCATTGCCATGCATAGCATGTAGGAGGAGTTACAGGATCATTAGATCTAGAGATACCGACTTAACTAGAATAGGATAAACATGTCCTAGAACATGGACTACGAGATCCAAAAGGGAGAAGAGAGCAAAGGTATCGACCATCGGAGGGCTTGATGGACCTGAAACCGTCCATCACGTCGGTAGAGAGGGCAGTGAAGAGGTGGCGCTCCAGTGGTGGTGTAGCGGTGAAGTGGTCCAACGGCGACGGCGTCCCAGTGATGGTGCTTCCCGTCGCTGGCTGCGCCCCTCACTAGATCAGGTTAGATTTTGTCGGTGGGTGTGGCGGCTCACGGTGAACCTTGTACTGAGGACCGCCGGCTCCCACCTCTCTTTATAGCGCAATGCGACGGAGGGCCACCAACCATGTAGGGTTGAGCACCCCCGATCAGGGCGCGAGGTCAAGGCCTAGCTCGGCCGTTGGGCCGAGCTGGAGAGATCAACACTAACAATCTCCTCCTTGATCTCATCTTATTACTTAAACTTTAATTTACTTTATCTTTTTCTTATTATATCACAGATCAGTGCATAGAGCGTGCCTCATCGTCACGGTCAGTGCCATTAAATTAACAGCTACAATGCACCTCTCTATTTTGAAACAGATTCTCAACTAGGCCCTTATTATCCAGGAATCATAGGCTTTCTCTTAAACCCATACCGGCTAAGTGTTCTCTGAACACGTTGGGTGATAAGCCTTTTGTAAACGGATCTGCAAGCATCTTTTCTGTACTTATGTGCTCAAGACTAATTATATGATCCCGGACTTTATCTTTCACAACATAATACTTTTATGTCAATGTGTTTGGTAGCACCACTTAATTTATTGTTGTGAGCATAACATATTGCTGGATTATTATCGCAGTATAACTTGAGTAGCTTATGTATGTCGTCTACCACTTTCAACCCGGGCATGAACTTCTTCAGCCAATTCACCTGTCCTGTGGCCTCATAACACGCTACAAACTCGGCATACATCGTAGACGATGTAGTGATGGTTTGCTTGAAGCTTTTCCACGATACAGCTCCTCCTGCGAGAGTAAATATATATCCTGACGTGGAATTTCTATCATCTCCCGCATAATCTGAATCTGAATACCCCTCTATATGTAGGGAATCAGATCTTCTGTACGTTAGCATGAGGCCTTTTGTTATTTGCAAGTAACGCAAAACTTTTTTTACCAGTCTCTAGTGTTCTATTTCTGGATTACTCTGATATCTGTCAAGTAGTCCGGTGTCGGGTATCGATATTAGGGATACCCGAAGCAAGGAAGTTAGCGCCCACGCTGACTTCCCCGGATGGCTCGAGACGTATTAAAAGGTCTCGTCCGACCCCAAGGTCGTGGGCTCCGTCTCGCCCGACCTCGAGGCCGCAGGCTCCGTCTCACCTGACCCCTTGGGTGCGGGCTCCGTCTCGCCCGACCCCAAAGACGCGGGTTCCGTTTCGCCCAAGGTCGCGGGCTCCGTCTCGCCCGACCTCGAGGCCGCGGGCTCCGTCTTACCCGACCTCGAGGCCACGGGCTCCGTCTCGCCTGACCCTAAGGACGCGGTTTCCGTCTCGCCCAAGGTCGCTGGCTCCGTCTTGCCCGACCTCGAGGACACGGGTTCCATCTCGTCCGACGGGGACCCATACCGTCGCCAACCACTCCAGGTCCAAGTGTATGGGCCTAGGTCAAAACTTTGACGCCAGGGAAGAGGCCGGCATGCCTCGATGTAACCCATGGCCATGACAGGCCATACCTGGGGATTCACATCAAGAACAGTGTCGGGCGTGCCGGTGCAGTTCTGCCTAATCCTCATACAGACGCTAACATGTGCGTCAGTTCACCACGACGTCCGCCGGGACGGAGTGGAACGCCATGACTGGCAGATGACGCCTGCGCATGGCGCTAGTGACGAACAGGGCCGCGATATGGAGCTGTCTCTGTTAACATCTACAGGATCGGCGGGACCCGCATGAAGGAGAAGAAGGACCCGGCAACCCTGGAAGCCTTCTTCTCTATCTCGTTCTTCTTATTTTCCTCTTCTGTAACCCGCGCTTTCCCTTCGCCTATAAAAGGGAAAGTAGGTTGCCCCATGAAAGGGGATCTTGACACAAGAGCACGACACGAGCACATGACTGAGCGGCAAGCGAGCTCTCAGCATCCGTTCACTCCTTCCATTAGAGACTTGGGATCCTCTCTCTCGCCTGTTTGTAACCCTACTGCAAACCAAGTGCCGGTAACACGAGTAGCAGCGAATTGGACGTAGGGATGTTATGCCCGAACCAGTATAAACCCTTGTGTCCTCCGAGCACACCATCCGAGCCAGACGCGCAAATAAAAATTTACTCGTCGGTGGTTCAAAAACGCCGACACCCGGTAACAAATGCTAAGTCAGGGCGTGTACATACTTGAACATACTGTAAACTTTCGATAGCTGAAGCATATGGAACCGCTTTCATTTGATCGATTTCATATTGCCATATTGGTTCCTGGGACATTGGAATTCTCCAAATCTATCGCCCTTGACTATGGGAGCAGGTAAAGGCTTACAATTTTATATATTGTATTTCTTTAGAACTTTTTCTAAGTATGCCTTTTGTGATAATCCTAAAACCCCCTTTCTTCTATCTTGGTGAATCTCTATTCCTAGAACAAACGAAGCTTCACCGAGATCCTTCATATCAAAATTCGAGGACAAGAACTTCTTCGTTTCTAGTAGTAGATTAATATCACTACTAGCGAGTAATTCCACATACAAGATTAGGAAAATGTATTTTTTATTCTTGAACTTTGCATAAACGCAATTGTCCTCTACATTTTGTTGAAACTCAAACTTTCTTACTGTACTATTAAACTTTAAATACCACTGTCTTGATGCTCGTTTTAATTCGTAAATGGATTTCTTCAAGCGGCATCCCATACGTTCTTTTCCTTCCCCAACAAACCTTTTGGTTGTGCCATGTAAATATTTTCCTCCAAATCCTCGTTTAGAAACACCGTC